CCTATATGCTCCCAACATCCTGAATTAATTAATAGGTCTGCGTAGAGTGATTTGTTATCTTTAAAAATAACAGATATTCAAATCATATCATTAGCAGCCCTATCAGGGTAACTATGGTTAATAGAACGATACGCAATCCAATTCTGTCTAGTGTGCCAAAACCTAAAGAGGTTCCAATATGCTGGCCAATACATAAAGTTAACTCTCCTCTATCATGAATTTGTATGAAGCTCAAGTTTTTAATTTCATTTTTTGTTATCAACATGCAATTACGTATTTACATATTTTTTATCATAGCTTATTATGTTTTAACTTGTTTAAAAAACATAATTTTTACCTTTGGAGGTGCTTTTGTTTTCGTTTTGTTCTCTTTTTCCTCTTCTGTTTTCTTCTTGCCTTTCATTGTCTGAGAAGTGTAGCGAGGACTCATATAAGTGTCTGTCTGTCCACCACGTGCATGATATTATTCTTATTGACCAATAATTATCAGTGTTAACCTAGTGCAGTAGTGTTACGTATAACCGTTTTGTTTGGTTTGTGCATAAGAGAGGTTTAGATATTTATATTTATAACGTGTTTAATATGCACAACGCAGATCCCTTAAAAATAAGTCCCATCTTAAAATCAAAACATGATTTTGATTGGTTAAGAGTAACAGGTGACTATCGGGTAATCTCGTGATATGCTTGGCCTTCGTGTATTTTTTATTATAATTGAAAAATGTTAGTCATGTCGAGAAATTTGCAAATGGGCCTTTTTAATATGAATAATGCTTCAAGTTCATTTTTACTGCAAATAAATAATATTTTAATCCTAATACAACAATGTAACTCAAGTTCTCAAACCCCATTTTCTCGAAAGAAAATAATTAGAATTATATTTTTTGGGGGGAAAATAGCTTTCGAAAATCGTACAGTGTACAATACTGCAATAGGTGCTAGTTTGCTAATTAGTAATACTGAAAATAAATGTTACTGCTAAATTGCTAAAAAAAAATTAATACTTATTTGTTTTCGGATTTTGTATACAGTATAGCGATAGTATGACTTAAAGTAGGTATGTTTATTTTAATTAAAAATTTTACATGATATATAAAGTTTTACAGTAAAATTGGCAAAAATATATTTTAATTGTTCATACAAAATTATTTACTAAAAAAAACTTGAATGTGCTAAATTCAAAAGAACAAAACGTTAGTATTAAACAGTGAAAAAAATTAATCATTGCGAAAATAATATTTGAGGGAAGCAGTTTATTCTTTAGTTGCGGCGCATTAGATGCCTACATGAAATTTTTAGCCACTCCGATTAGTGATGTAATTGGTTTTGTCAAATGGAATATTTGTATTTGTCCAATGGGAAGTTGGGGATAATTAGTAATCCGGCCTCTGCGATGATAGAATACGAAATCGGAGAGTACGTACGTACATAAAAATTCAAATTAGAAATTGATTTGACGCATTTCAAAATCAAATTTCGGTAATTCACGCTCAAATTTCACGCACAAATATCAAATCCGCTAACGCATGTTATACAAAGTGGGCGTTATTTCGAGACGCGCATGGGCGTTATTTTGAACTAAAAATGTGATGTTTTTTAAAGGGTGCAATTGGGCGTTATTTCGTGACTTTATGGTAATTGAATTGAAAACCCTATTGCAGTATTGCGATTATCATCCTCGGCAAATCATTATCGAATACTGATAACGATAAGCAGAATTTATCTGTTAGATTTTTAATCCTTAAATTTTTAATAAGCAAAATGAATCTTTTGCAACTACTAGATTAAATTTAAATGCAACACACTTCGCTAGGAATATTATGTGGTCTAGACTAATAAAACCAGGACTAGTCTGGGTTGACTAAATCTTATAATAGGCAAGACCAGTACTGGACCAGACTGAACCAGACTGATTAACGTTAATATCCGCATTTATAATTTAGATTTTTGCACTCAATCATTCAATTAGAAGATCCTGTGATTCGCACCCGGGTATATCGAGGGGATGGGCACTTACGGTAGATGCTTCAAAATAGAGTGTCTAGAATTCTAAATCTAAAATATTTATATTGTGTTTGATCTTAAAAAGTCACGTTTATCTTGCGCTTTTAGAGTGAACAGGTTTATGCACCGCAGAATTCTGGACATCGAAAATTTTAAATCGATTAGTTGCCAATTCTGATCGACTTTTTAGAATATGTATCATTCATGTCAGATATGGGCTAGTACAGCGAATTTTATAATCTTTTTTGAGTAATGGTGACGTATAATTTACTGTATATTGATATCAAAATCTACCGTTACTAATTAACGTTAGCTTTAACTTTAAAAGTTCTGAAGTTGCGTTAGCAGTTTTTGGTATATCATCTTAAATTCTATCCGTGGCCAATAGAAAAGCTAGAAAAAGATGAGTGAAAATCTTCGTGTAACTTAATATTTAGTATTTCTTCACGTGGCTGTATTGTAATATATATATATATATTAATATTTCAAAATTTCTTTAATTTCTTTCCTAAAAATATTAAAAAATATATTGAAAATGCGAGAACAAGAAAAATATCGCAAAGACCCTCATTACAAAAGATACGTTCAACAGGTCGAAAGGCATTTGCAATCCTTCGATAAAGAAGTCAATGAATGGGCCGATTTCATATCATTTCTGGGAAAGCTTTTAAAGGTGAATAGGTTCATGCGCGTAAATTTCAGGATCGGATCTAGATCTCAGATTTAATATCAACTATTTTGTAATTTTAGGCCTTTCAAGCATATCCTCAAATTCCCGTAATTCCTCGAAAGCTTTTGGTCGCAAAACGACTTGCTCAGTCCTTAAATCCTGGATTACCCCCAGGCGTGCATGAAAAAGCCTTGGAAGTTTATGAATACATTTTTAAAAGTATAGGGGTATGTTAATATCATTTATAGATTCGTAATTCGCCATTAGATTTTTGATAATAGTTGATCTGAAATTCATAAAGGGTGTGTTAATGATAGAGCGAACAATTAACAGAGGATTTGCCCATTTACTCCCAAGGGTTATTTCCATTTTTTCAATATGCTGCCATGTCAGTTAAGGTATTTATTAATTATATGTATTCTCTAAGATGGATGCCTCCGGATAAATTCATTATAATGTCGCTTCATCAATAATTAATTCATGTAAGACATTATTTCACAGCCCCAATTAATAGGACTATATGAACAATACATGTTTCCGCTAAAAGAAAAACTACGTCCAGTCATGAAAGCTTTTATTATTGCTTTGTTACCTGGGCTTGAAGAGGAAGGGAGTGAATTCTTTGATAAAGTACATATTATATCGCGTTAATTTATCAAATAAACAATCAGTTGATTAATTCATCTATCGTTCATGAATTAGGTTTTGTCTCTTCTCGATTATTTATCTGGAATCGTTGAAAAGTCTTATTTTCTTCAAAGCATGTGGCTTGTATTAATTACTTGTCCTGCTTTGCGAACGCCGGCACTAAGTTATTTGTCTCGGCGCATGCCGAAGATCTCATCAAAAGAAGGTATATACATATATATATATGTGTATTTTTTTCTTTTTTATGTTATGCTAACAAGACATAACATCTATGCGAATTAAAGATGTAGCTGTGGATTTAGGTGACGATGTTGGAATCATGGTTCGCGCATTTTCTGCCACATTAGGTGACAAACAGGTTTTAGTTCAACGGGCTATACTTGAATTACTTGTGGTCAATTTCCCGTTGAAAGTTGATAATTTTGGAGAGTATGTATCTATGTAAAATGTTTTATCAATTGTTTTTTCGCCATATTTACGTTCAACATCCTTCAAAGTATTATGCAAAAAGACGATCTTATACTACTAATGAAATCTGCCACGTCAGTGGTTCTGCGAAAAGATATGTCGTTAAACAGAAGACTTTATGCATGGCTCTTAGGACCTGGCGAACATATAGAACAACAAATTGAGCATTTTCAGGCATATGCAAAATCTGCTGTAGTTTCCGCACTGAAGGTATTTTCACTATAATCACTTCTGGTTTGAGAATTTACAATACTTACATGTTGAAAAATTTCTGATTATATATATATGTGTGTATATATTATTTTTTCCTGAAAAATATATAAGGGCTCTTTTTTTATGAATGTGGACGATTTGGTTAATGCTCAACGACCATATAAGATCTTGATCTCATTGATGGATAAATGGGAGATCGGACAACCGATCGTCCAAGAATTATTTATTGATGTTTTATGGTCACTAAAAAAGCATGTTGATAAATCAGAATTCGGCGTGGATGTAAGCGTAATAACATTACAATTCCGCTTAAACAATGTTCAAATATAGTAATCATCTTTATACTTTTTCAAGTTATTACAAACTGCAAATATGTTTATGGAAATGATCGAACCTTATCTAATTTGGATGAAATTATATGGCCTTCTCGATAAATTTTCGTCCAAGGACGGGCTAGACACTGCAGTCAGTAAAAATTTAAAGTTGCTTTTCTACTTTTAATTTATTATCGTTCTAACATTTTATTTCGCATATAGGCGTTAGATTTAGTCGAGTTTGTCTTGAATTCATTTAAATTGCATGAAGAAGAAATCGAACAAATTCATTTACCATTGTTTTTGACTGCTCTGCTCTGTAAACTTCAAGTAACTATTTATTAGTTATACGTTTAGTTTGTTGTTTAAAACTATTTATATTTATACATTTTGTATATTTGAATTGTTGGTTCTATATTATAGAGCTTTGCGAATGATTCAAAATTTTCTGCAAATATTTCACAAGTTGAAACTGCCTTAAAACTAGCGTTAGATATATTCCAAAAAATTCCGAATAGTGTCTTTAATTATCGTGTTCAAAAATCGGCAACGGAGAGACGTAACTCTATCATTAAACCAGAGTCACAACTGGAAAATAATACTGGTTCTTCAAATGAAGACATTCCAACATCATCATCGTCACAAGTGGACTTGGATTTCATTTCTGGAATGGACCCTGTAAAGTATATTAATGATTTTTATTTATATGGAAGTGAAAATATTGCAAACAAAGAATTTAGTGGAATACGAGGGCGACTTTTGGCTGAAGAATTGTTAAAGACTTTACAAGGGTTTTTAAATTGTGTAATTACCCAATATATACTTCCCAAGAATGATGATAATAAGGAAACGACTCCAGGATCTTTTGCTGTGATAATGGATCGTGCCTGCGGACTTTTAAGAGCTGTTTCGATGAAACTTTATCATATTGAGCGTGATACTAAAGAATATGAAGCAGCAGCATCGAAATTATATACCGGAGAATGGGTCAATTCATTATTGAAATGCTGTTACATGGTCGAACATTTTGACATAATTGATTCGGCACTTTCGACCCTTCTTGATCTTATAATTGGTAGGCGACTCATTTTACCCTGCTTGTTAGACTCCAAACAACAAATTCGAGACATTGTTGATACATTATGGCGTTTTTTGGGCCCTCATTATAATGTGTTGCATTTGCGTTCATCTCAACTTATTTGGAAGCTCAAAGATGTATCTCACGCAAATTATGTAGAGGCGGTAATATCAGAGTACTTGATACAAAAAGATACATCGATTAGACTAGCAAATTTTGAGCGGTTTGGAATTTTTTGGATGCTTTCTGCGGAATTTTATGATACAGATGCAGCTTTCTCTCAGCAAATGTTTTTGGTATTGGATTCCTTACGTGACGAAAACCCTTCCACCCGCCGAGCAGGTGAAACTTGGATGAGATGGAATCGCACTAATAAATCTTATATTAGAATTTTACAACCCATAGTCAGGATTCTATGTGATTCTAAAATTATTCGTAAAAATTTAGAATTACAAATAGATGATGGAACATTTGACGTTGTTCATTATGAGAAGCCCTTTAATCAAGCCCAAGTAGATTATGTTTTTCAGACATTGTCTACAATGTGTCGAGTTGGTGGGAGAGCATTTTTAAACGCAATACACATCTCACCCGTTAAGGCTGAGTTAGTTAATTCTTGCACCTGGCTTTTCCGAGGCAATGAGAATTCATCGAGCACTATGTCATACAGTGAACTTTTTATTAAGATTGCATTGCTATATATAGAATCTGAAGTATTAGATACTTCTTCTTCAATGAATATATTAAATCAACAGATCCATTTGCATGCTTCTGAGTTCCTTCTTTATTTAATAGAAAATCCTGAATTTGTTAATAACGAAATTGTTTATTTAGTCCATGAAGCTGTCTTGCGCAAACTACTCTATTGTATCTATGCAAAACACCTGGATTTACAAGCAAAGCTTTTACCATTATTGCGATCAACTATCATAAATTTAGGCCCATTAAATGAAAATTTTGTAAATGGCTCACCTTTAATAAAGAAGATAACAACGGAGCAATATTATTCAAGTTCTCCGACTGGTTATAATAGCTCTGATGCGAAGGATGAAGCTACTAGTGACTTAAAACATCTCCGTGTGTTAGCACTTCACATTTCGCAGGTTTTTACTATGGCATTGTCGAAACTTTCAAACCGACCTCTTTTACAGGAATGGATGGATCTTATCGAAATGTCTATACCTTATTTCCGACAGTCATTCAATTCTATATTGATGCCATTGATCCTTTGTATTTGTGAACAATTAAAGTATTGGAAAACAGAAACAAAGCATCAATATGATTTAATGATGAACAAACATGGATCTATTTCTCCAAATTCATCACAAACTATTGATGATCATGCAATGTCCGATTGGGATATTATCACATTGTTTAATGGATTTGAAGAGATTGTAAAAGACTGTTTAAATAAGCATACAACTGAAGACGGCGATATTACACCACATGGAACTAAGTCCTATGATACGACGCTTGGTATTCCTACGCTGACTGGCTATGTAACGGGCGTTTTCGCATCCGACTCTGGGGTTAATGAGATACCAGCATCAGAACAACCAAAGGTAGTGCATAGTTTCTGCAAGTTATTAAATAAGCAAATGTACCCCATACTCATTTAATTACGATTTATTTAATATAGCCTCGAGATTATATACTTTATAACGTTTTCCCAAATATTGTGGCTATCATTCTAGATATGTGGACCGTATTCAAAGATGCATATTCTTCGAATCAACCAATAAAGGCCGGAATTAGTCCATTTGATATATCACTTGCGCATACAGAGACGCGGGTAAAGAGTCGAATCAAGGAATTGCTAGATGTGCTTTACAAAAAGTCCCACGCAGAACTCGTTGAAGCCTTTGTCGAACTTTGGTACATCGAAAATCCTGACATTACTGCTGCTGTTTCAGAGGTAATGTTTATAAGTGATAATTTCAGGCAAATTAATCTTATGAATTATGCTCATTTTTTATTACTTTAGCAGGCAACATCGAAAGGACGTAATAGTACCGTTATTGAAGTCCTTAAGGATATTCCTGGCTCTTCTATCCCAAAAATCATAAACACACTTTTGATCAACGCTCGTGGTCGATCACTTGGTGTTCAGACGCCAAAAGTCAGAAAACCCGGCTCTAAAGCCAATAAATTGTATGTTTTAATCATATCATTTACGCTTACCCTTTTTTTTTTATCATAAAAAAAAAAAACAATAAAAATTAGTTATATTATTATTGACATTTGTCTATCACAGAACAGATGTAATGGTTCTACGTTTTATAGAGGCCTATTGTGATTCTTTAGAAGGGCTTGAACCATTAGTTAAAGTTTGGCCTCAATGCATATCATACGTAAAAGATCATTTTGCGCAGGCAACAACTTATAAATATTTGTTTCCCAATATTTTGAGGTTAGTACACTTTTTTAATTTTGATGTATAAATAATTGTCTTGAACTCACCAATCCAATTAGATTCATGCATGGTTTGGCTGACAAACTATGCACAACCGATTATTTTGATGATAAGAAAGTGAGGAAAGACATGCAGGTATGATTAAAGCTTAACACACGTTTTTTGATGAATCGGTATATTAATATTTTTTTATAATAAGGATGTATATCAACGTGTTTTGGATTATTGTATTTTGATATCTGGGCGCTCATTTGATCAAGGATTGTGGATTAGGCGTTCTACACCTCTTCCAGAAGGCGAAGATGAGAACGGTGAAGGTATTATTCTTTGTGTGTTCTTGTGATTTTCTTGTTCAAGTTATATAATTTCAATGTTTTGCATTCTGTTCTAGAAAATGATGAAAATGAGGCCGAAAAGAGTCGCACTACTGTTCCTATGCAGGAAGAGAAAAAAGCACCACATAAATCAAAAGAAGAAATTTTGATTGACCAGGTTTAATAAAGTAATCTCTTTTTAATATGTATATTTTTAAAATTTCGGTACTTAATTTGTTTTTCTTTAGACAAATCAATATCTTGCCAATATTGTGATACCAAACATTAGGCGACTGTTAGCTGATCATGATAAGATTGTTGCCATACTAACAAACCTCATGTACTATGTAATAGCACCTTCTTTGAAAAATCGCACCAAGTAAGACCGACTTCTTTTTACTTCTTTTTGTATAAAGTGAAGCAAGTTTGAATTGGCCCGTCCTGACCACTGTGAATTATTAGCGCTGGTATTAATCCAATAGTGCTTGACCTTCTATGTGAGACTTCAAAGATATCTTTCGCATACCGAGTTTGGCGCAAAGAAGCATGGGATGTTTTTATAGACAATCGATTTTTTAATATGGCACCTACTGCGGCTAAGAAATGGCGTATTATAATGCAAACGATAATGACGTCAGAAAAGGAAAGATTCACTGAAGTCTTGAGTAAATTTTTAATTTGATCTATTTACATGCTTAAAATATTATATTGAATTTCTGCTTATAGTTTTATTATAATTGATTATTAATAAAAGCTCGAATAACGACTACACCTGCCAACGCGTTGTTTGTCAATAAAGAACAAGAGGCATTAAATCGGGCATTGAATCTCAGGAGACTTTCATTCATTATATATTGCGGCAAAGTAGATCATTATTTGTCGCAACTTCCCAATATCCATGAAAAATTGGTCGAATTATTTAAATTAGGATTTACCGAAATAGTTCACGCTGAAGTATTTAGACTTTACTTCATTATGTTTGAACTTTTTATATTGAAGTATTCAGGCTAAAATATATCTGAATATAAATAATTAATTGTTTTATCTTTTACAGATTTATTTATGTCTTCGAATATTGATGTGCAGACTTCCGAATCAACGTTTATCGAGTTTTTGGCCGGTTATCCTTACCGAGCTAGTTAGTATTATTAAAATATTTGATCGTTTTTTTTTTGTTACTTATTATCATGAATTGCTCAAATGCAGACTTTCTTAAAACATTAGCTTCGCCTTTGTGGAACATATCTTTCCACAGAAACTCCATTCAAAGAAGGTTCCAAGGAAGCCACAGATATTGCTAACGTGTTTTTGGCTGCATGCAAATTTTTGGATTTGTTATTTGTGTTACAAACCAACAGTTTTCAATCGTAATGTTATTTCTTTTAAGTTCTGCAGCTGTTGTTGAGCTTATCTACTTCTTGATAAATTTAATATTCTTTTTCATTCTCAGACATGAGTGGATGTTCATCTCAAACACAATCAATGTGGTAAGGCATTCCCTTGAATACTCGCCTTATGCACTTCTGGACAAGTTGGCAGATCACTTATCCGGTCATGAAGATTTAACGAAAGTAAATTAGATTTTTAAATGCTAATTTAACCATGTCGTTTTAACCATTTTTCATACACTGAAATATACTTTTTAAAATCAATATTTTTTAGCTGCAGTTGGACAATTTATCAAGTAACCAGGTTATATCAGGGACGCATACAATTTCACCTGAAGGAAAAAAACGTCCAATGCTGACATTACATAGTATAACTAACATCAAACAGTTAGAATTCTTTTTAAGAAATATTAGCTTGTACGTTTATCATTCAACTTATACGCTTGCAGAACCGGATATATCATATATTGAAATTTTATTAGAAAGTGATTTGTTGGAATACAGTGGTGGGCTTGAAGCTGGAAATCAAGATGTGGATAGTGATGTATCTTAATAGAATATTTGGTAATTGCAAATCGAGAATAATGTTATATATTTGTTTTTGTGATTGCAAATTTTTTGTATGTATAAATGTAATTTGATTTTATTCATGTATTTATGGATAGTCATTTTTTGCTATATATAATCATTTTCATACGGTATACAGTATAGGGGATTTTAATTGATTTAATATTTAAATTTAATACATATTACTTGTTTTTTTTTTTTAATTTTAAATATATTTTTTTGGCATTTACGTATAGCAATTTTGTATTTTTTGTCTCACTTTTTTAAACAACTGATTTAAAACAATTATATAATTGGTTAAAAGAATTTGTACATGTAAAATCTTGAATTCGTAATTTTTCACGTTAATAGATTAGCGTTTTACCAAAATTTAGCAGATCGACCAAAATTTAGGGTCGGAAGTCATTGGCATTAAGAAATAATACTGGCCAATTATAACATAGCAAATTAGATATAAAATTTAGCGTTAGTAATTTCGATCTTGAGCAAAAATTTATCATTTTCGGCCCTTTCGACCCAGAATTTTGGTCGCGCCACTAATCTATTCTCGAGGACCTGTAAAGTTTTGGTTTTAAAAACTAACAAAAAATTTAGGCTAAATTTTGATTTAATTTGGAAAATTTTTATAAGTTCATTTTTTTGGTTTGTTAAAACACAACATCGTAAGCATTTTTAATAATTCAGCATTTAAATTTCGCCGATTGTTTTGAAGAATGTTATTATAGGAACACAAGTTCGTAATTGCAATCCTGACCAAATATAAAAACGATTAGAAATCAATTTGCACTAATTTACATAAATTTATGTCTCTAGGCAATGGCAATACAAGCTAGTCATGCACTATGTCTTAGAAGTTAGATAACTTAAGTTTGTATAAAAATTTTATTAAAATAAAAATATGTATCACTAGAGACAAGCAAATCGAATATTTTTTGAATCTACAGCGCAGCCTGCACAGGCCCTAGTTTACTGCTAATGCAGGCCAGAATTGTGAAATTCCGAATTATTCCAAAATCCTATCTGTACAGCATTCTATTCCTATAATATAGAAATTTTAGTTAAATTTGATATTCAAAAATACTTAATTGGTGATCCATCTAAGAATTATAGTTTTTTTAAAATTTTTATACTAAAATTTGGACATATTTAATTTAAGTTTTGCAATAGAGTGGAATCTGGCACTGCTCTTTAAGTAAAGTTATTTTTTTACTAAGCTAACCTTCTTCCAAGTTCTAACAAAAGTTGTAAAGCACGTTTCTGTGATTCTAATGGTAGTAAGATTGTTAAAATTGGTCTGGTGGTTCTTGAGATATATTAACTTTTCTTTACAATCATATAAAATTTCTTTACAAGAACTTCTAAAAGAGAAAAGTTAAGATATCTCAAGAACTACCAGACCAATTTTAACAATGTTACTACCATTTAGAATTACAAAAACGTGCTCTACAATTTTTGGTAAAACTTGAAGAAAGGGTTAGCTTAGTAAAAAAATAACTTTATTTAGAGAGTAGTGCCAGATTTCACTTTATTATAAGACTTATATTAAATATGCCCCAAATTTTATTATAAAAAACTATAGTTCTTAGATAGATCACCAATTAAAATTTTAGATTTTTTGTGAAAATTTTATATATCTAAAATTGGATGTTTTATAGAATAGGTAGGCATTGAAACCATTTAACTACATCAGGAAATTTTAAATATAGATAAGTAGCGATTACTATCAAATATTTGATAACTATCGATAATTCTTATCAATAGTTATTGGTATGGGTGATTATTAATGATAATTACCATTATTGATTTAAATCTAATTGTTAAATTTTGATAGTCAACTCTTATCGATTGTTCTTGATGAATTATTTATTGATAGTAATCGATTAGGTAATCGATTTAAATCAATTACTGTTAGATTTCAACAGCTAACTTTAAAATTGTTTTTAATAAATTTTTCTATTGATAGTAATCAATTAGGTATTATCTAATCAATTTAAATCAATTACCTAATCGATTACTATTAATAAAAAATTTATCAAGAACAATTGATAAGAGCTAACTATCAAAATTTAACAATTAATGATTTAAATCGATAATGGTAATTATCAGTAATAATCACCCATACTGGTAACTATCGATAAGAATTATCAATAGTTATCAAATATTTGATAGTAATCGCTACTTAGCTATATTCAAAATTTCTTGATGTTTAAAAATCCTGATACCTGTTCTTTAAAAATAGCACTTAAACATCCTATTTCTTGGCTTTCATTACAAACCAACGAAGAAACTTGCGAAGTTGTTTAATCTCAATTCTCTCAATCCCAGCCTATAAAAAAGAAAAAAACAATGCTCTTTGCCTGCCTTCTTACTAACGATGATTCTTTGCAAGAGTTAGAGGCTGCAGAAGAAGCTGTCAAATCTAAAGCTAAAAATATAAAAAGAAAAAAAGAAATTGCAGCCCAAAAAAAAGTAATATGTGAGTTAGAAAAAGCTGAAAAAAAAGCTGAAAGAGAGTATAAAAAGGAAGAAAAAATACAAAAAAAAAAAGATAAAGAAAAAAGTAAAGCTGATTAAGATTTTTTTTGCAAACGGTTTTAATAGTGACTATGTAGTGCGCTTAATGAGTGCTAAATGAGTCGATATTGTTAAGAGATGTTAAGAGATTATCTATCGCTATATTAATAGTATATTTATGTTAATGATCGTCATGTTCGTCAAAATACCCTTTGGGAACGGGAGGAAATGTACCTAAAAATAGTAACATGTTATACAATTTATGATAATCGTAATTTATACATTTTAATGTACTTTTTCACGAGGCTTGTGTAGCCTATCCTCCCTACCAAAGGTAGACTATAATTCTAACAAAACTTGAAGTTTTCGCTTCGGCATATAAGAATATCAAGTGAATCCCTCTGAATCCCACGACTTTTATTAGTGTTAGATATGTCTGAAAATAAGCATTGCTCAAGCTGCCAAGCCACTCAAACTGTTAAATTCCGTTCGTTGGGTGCCGACAAATGGAAAGAAATTGTGTCTAGAGGTCTAGAGAAGCCAACGTAGAAGGAAAACACCATTCTATGTAACAAATATTACATGAATCTAGTAGAAAATCCCTTGAGACGAGGTAATAAACGAGTAAAAGGTATAGATCAAGCTGAAAATGCAGGTAATGAGGCAGGTACGTTTAATAAAAAGATTGAGCTCTCTGAAGCCATTAGGTTGCTAGCAAAATTTTTTTATAAAAGAGAGCATGTAAAAAAGAAAAATACAATTTATACGTTTGAAGAATTGAAAGAATTACTAGTAAAAGATGAACCTAATCTTAAGTCTTTTCTTGAGCAACTTTATTTAGCAGCTAGGCCGTCCACACGTACCGAACAAACAATGGACTATATGAAAAGAATAATGGTGTTCATTTGTTATTTACTTGCTTCTTTGAACAATACTAAAGTTAATTCTTTTAAGTTTGATATTGCGTATTATTTAGATTCGGTGAGTATAACTAAAGAAGGCTTGAATATGATGGCGAATCTCGGCATTACTACAATGTCACAGGCAGTAGGTCTGCGTAAAAGAAAGATATCAGAAGCGCATAAAAATATGTGGATAATGTGCTTTTTTAGCAGTCGAGTAATGTGCTTGTGCTAAATGTCGACGACTATCATAATATCCACGTCCCTCAGTAGCTCAACACTACAGTTACTTCTAGGACAACGCATATGGCAACAATTCTAATGAACCCATGTTTAATACCTGCAATATCATGTAATGGAATAGTTAATCTGAGATTCATAGATAGCCACTTGATTATGAAATATCTTAATGAACGATTTATTGTAAATCTTGGTGTTTTATATCATGATCGAATGCGGAGCAAAGAACAAGCATATACTGATGAAGAAGTATTAGATAGACTAACAGTACATAGCTACGACGATAGGCTTGTAGAGAAAAAGACTGATCGACATATATGTAACTCAATTCTTGTTGACTTTGTTAAAAAAGAATTGAAAAATATAGAAGAATATGTCGATTCTCTTCGAATTGTACACGACTATGAGCCAATGCGAATGTATCTTTCTAATTATGCAGTTCCTATTGTCGCGGATTGGCCTGGGCAATATTTTATCCGTAAAGCCATTGCACAACGTTTTCTTCTTAACAATAAGAGTATTCCACAGTTTGTTATGTCATTTTTGCCTATTTTGAAGCCTTTTCATGTGTCTTTGAATTCTCGCGAACTTGTTTACAAAAAAAATTATTTATTATTTAGCAACGTCTATAAGAGTGTATTCGGGGTGAAGAAGAAACTCGGTCAGAAGCCACATCCATGGAGAATTAATTTAATTCTCCATATTGTACACTTGGTATGGTCTAATATTGTGGATACGGTTTATTCAAAATTTGGGTTTACATGTAAAAATATTGAATTTTTATATCTTACTGATTTATTTAGCAATTTAGTTCCTTTAGTTCTTGACGTCTATGCCATACACCATTGGAGTGGGGATTGGCCATCATATGAGGAAGCGTGTATGCGTTGTTGGAGCAACTTTTTCCTACGATTCAATTGAAAAAATTATAAGTGTGCCTCCTTAATATTTTTTTCAGATGTTTTTTACTGGATGGAAACTGGCTATTCAATAATGAATTTAATTACTAACCATCTTGCTTCCCTTAGTGATAGTCCTATTGAAGTCACCCACAGTATTATTCGAAGACGTACTGTTAAGTTTGTTATGGCCGAGCAATTGCAAAAGAAGGCATATTTCATTTTCTAGCAACGATATAACAATACTTTTCAGCAAAATTTTGTACATTCCGTGAAGTACTCATATATGCCGAAGCAGTTAGATTTGCTTTTTCAAAAATGTTCTATATCGCTTTTGGAAATATTTGCGAAAGTGTATTGAAATCGTGACAAATATCCTATCGTTAAATCTACAAGTGACAATGGTATCAATATATATGAGTTATCTTCAT